CTCCGACACACCCCAAGGAAGGATGCCGAAAAGTTCACATGTATGCGCTGTACAAATCTGCATCGAAAAGGAGAAAAGCAGCATTCTGCGAATCTTCTGTCTCGGCTTGACGCATCTGCCTCCTGCGCTTGGCGGAAATAAATGCTCCATCGTATCGGATTCTCCACGTTCCATGTGGAAGAAAACGCTTGAGCATGTCCTGCTTACTTGCCTTTGTCAGGCCGTCTGCCAGCATGTGGTCGCTATCGCACCACAGTAGCACGGTTTTCTGGGCCTCGAGACGTTGACTTAAAGCAAGCAGTTCCAAACCCGTATACTTATCTATCTGGCTGGAGACAAAAACACCCTTCGACAAGGAGTCAAACATTGCCTTCGCATCCACAGTCAAGTAGGCAGCTACCTTAGAGGAATAGGACTCTGGGTGTCGCAAGTCCAGCTGATCACCAAGCATGTCTCGCCACTCAAGCCTGGCAAAAAAGAGCTCTTGCTCTGTGTCTGCCAACGACTGAGCTTCTGCGGAAAGTGAGCTTCTTGCGATCCGATGTAACTTGCCACTCCGCCATGATACTGGATTGACTCGTTCGGATCCAGCTTCAAGGGCACGGCGATTCATCATGCCAATCACAAAGCCACCAGTGGAGGAGAGGTCTGGCCTGTTGGCCAGACTAGCATCTGACCATCCCACCATGCAAAGATCTTCAGGATCATCCGTACCCAAAGCTTGCACTTGAACGGCCAAGCTCCTGGAGGCGTACACCTCCCGGACAAGCTTGTTCACTTGCTCCACAATGGAGGCGTCCTGGGATGCAATCAAACTCTGCAGGTAGCTGAGTTTGGCGGCGTGTTGTGGTGCCGTTTGGTACACTCTCCATTGAACACTACCCAAGATGGCTTTAACCTGACTCACCTCCTCGGCCGTCAGCTTGCGTTCGCCTTTTATGGGGTTCATCTGCTTCAGCTCCTGACAGAAGGCACTATGATCCAAGGAGATGGAAAAGTCGGGATGTTGCATGATGGAAACACCGCAATGCTTGAAGTGTCCATGCTCCCACGGTGACCACTCATAACTCTTGCCGAAGGCGAACATAAAATCCTTCCAGACCTTAGAGGAGCTGTCGCCACACATCAAGAAGTCGTCGACATGACTGGAGACAAGTCCGACGATCTGACCGGTTGCGGCATCGCGAATTCGCCATACGCAGTTGTCGGTGGTCAAACGTTCTGCACCGAGGTTCACAAGTGTTGTATGGACATCTTCATACCATTCCCTTGGAGCAGAAACCAATCCATACACACTTCGGGGAAGCTGGACTGCCTGTCCCTCCCGCAAATTCAACGCCTTGCTGAGTTCGGGAACGGGTGCCGCGAAAATGCAACGATCAGCTTGTGGTGACTTTGCCTGTAGAAAAGCAGACTTGACATCTCCGCAGACAATGTCCCACCTTTTTAGCGGCAGCCATGTTCAACAGGAGTTGTCGGGACAAACGAGTCATAGCCGGGCTTACGGTTGTTGCCTCAAGCAAGTTCGGGTCCGAATATCCAAGGATGACTATCCGAGCCTTCGCTTTGATTCGCTCCCCAACCGCCGATTGGCTCTTTGGCACTCCTGCTGTACCATTGGTGGGCTCATTTGTCTCCTGGGCCGCACTTTTAAATGTCAGTACCCATCTCATTTTCAAGAGTTCGCGCTGAGGGACATACTGCCGGGCGGCCTTCACCGCCATGGTCTTCATCCAGTTGTCAACTTCAACCTTCATCGCCTCGTCCATTGCACGGCGTTGTTGAGGGTTGAGTTTCGCATAGCTGACTTCTACCCCCTTCTGAACGGATGTTGCCAGAAATTTCTTAGGACTTTTGACCAAGGATTTCCACTCAGCCTCTGTGGCAGGGGCTTCAAGGGTGACGGCAAACACAGGAGTGGAGAGCACCTCCACGTCTTCTTTGGCGAACTCGACTTGAAACGCGGTTGCCTCGCCGTCTGCCTCGAAATTCACAAAGTCCACCGGGAAGTACTGGGGATCGTTCAAGAATCGGGCCATGTTGATAGATGACGTACTTGTTCTTTCTGCTGAGCCCGGGGCTGGGATGAGCTCCATTTCCTCATCCGCCGAGGGGTCAGGCGCATCTCTCTTGACACCTGAGTCTACTGGAACTTGAATCAGCTCTTCATCCTCGGGTGGATCATCAGTATGGCATTGAGGAGGAGAATCTTGAGGCACTGGCGGTTCAGGCATGTCAATGCGGCGCCTGGCTGCCGGGGGCAACGATCTTGATCTCGCGGGAGTCCTCGGGCGCCCACGTGCCCGATACCTCGGAAATGACTCATCGTCATACGAGCCCTTCTCGAGCAAGTCAGCCAGCGACGCAAACGTCCATGGAAAAGCTAAACCACTGGCACCTTCAGCCACGAGACGCTCAGTCTCAGAGGCGTGTCGCACCTGTGAGTGATGGAACTTTTTCAACCTTCCATTAGAGACTGCCCAAACGATCGCACCAGCCTTGCGGATGCCGTCCTCAAGGTCCACTCTGGTCTCCGTGGCCAGCACTCGTCCTGGTCCGTAGAATCTCGCGATGTTCAATCTCGGACGATCTACGGTCGTATTGGCTGGAGTGTCTTGTGGAATTTGAAATCGCTGGTAGAAATGATGTCTCCAGGCAATAAGTGCTTGGTAGGTCTGGTCTTGGAGTTGAGTGCTCTGGACGCCAAGTCCCGAGCCCGATATTCCAAGAAGGCCTTCTCCGCCTTTGTCCGTAACTCCAAGGCCTCGTGCATGGCGTGGGAAGGATCAGCCATTGCACTCCGGGCGCAGACCTCGCCATCTCGTTCTCGGCTGTGTCCTGTGATGGATACGTCTCTTCCAAAGGCCCATTGCGCGGGACTGAATCCTGAGGTTCTGGCCAGAGTGTTGTGCGCTGCAACCATCTGGGCAGCAGCACGGGAAGGTGCATACTGCTCAGCCCGAAGAAAAGTCTCAATCTTCCTGCGGATCGTGCCTATGGTTCTCTCGGCCTCGGAAATGCCCTGGTGGTACTCCGCAGGTACAAAGCCTAGCTCGATTCCGCGAGACGAGCAGTACTCAGCCAAATCAAGGCCGCGGAACGCGCCCTCGGGGTCCAGCTTAATGGTTTCTGGGTATCCGAACAACTGGCGCCATCTCGACTCGATGGTTCTAACCACCTGCGTCGTCGTGACATTCCGGGACTCTTTCTCGGAATGGCGCATCACCTCCTCCACTTGGCAGAAGCCCGATGCCTCATCGACCATCAGAAGAAAGTGGAAGACTTCCTGACCAAACCGCATGTAGAATCCGTCTATCTGGAGTGCACACCACAGCCGGTCCTCACGCTCCAAACTTGCAGAAGGGGCCGAGGCACGGATCTGGTTCTCCATGCAAACATCACATTTAAACTCTGCAGCAACTGCTAGAAGCTTGGGGGAAGCGCCTCGGGCTCGTAAGTTCTTGACCAGCAGGCTGTTCGTTGGGTGTCCAAACCTTCGGTGGAGTTTCTGAACGGTATCTAACAGGCCCTCAAGTTCGGACTTGGTCACACCTTCCAGGGCTTCCTTGTGGGAGGTCACGGCGTAGGCCATACCTGAAACATCCGACTCAGTAGAGGTACCGTGGAGATTCATCAGAGATCCGCAGAATGCCCGGTAGAGACCATCCAGAGACTCTTCTTGAGATTCACTAGGACGGTGGTTCCTAGAACACTCCATGAAAAGAACTTTTGAAGTGGTGCGCACCTGGATGTTCCCGCACTGCCATTCGAACGCTCGGTCCTCCTTTGCCAGTTGATGCCAATGATGACAAGTATCTGGGTCTCTCCACACACTCGCGGTTTTCTCTGAGATCCACACGCACTCCCCATGACGAAGCTGAATCTGGCTCAGGTTTACGGCATGCTGAACAACCTTCCGATGGCGATGATGAAGAGATCGAACTTTCTCATTATCCTTTTTGCACAGAGGCCTGGCAGGACCGCTGGGAAGTTGAAACCAGCCAACCTGTGGCCGGAGTTCAAGAAGTTGTTGTTGAGCTCGACGAAGTCCACCTTTTGTCCCAAGATCAAAACCTGACTGAAGATTCGCAGCATATCCTGTGCCTCCTTGTTGATGTAGTAGTTGACATAGGCGGCTATCACGAGGACCACCCAGCTCAACCACCTGAACATTGTGCGCATCCCTACCATGAGCATCCAACAAGCTGTTGACCTCGTCCCAGACTTCTTGACAGGAGCGATGTACAAGATCTCGGACATCCTGAGTCATGGCAACATGGCAAACATCACCTTCACCATCGGTAGCTCCACTCAAGAAGTGCTCCTGGGCCTCAGAACCAGTCGTTCGAGGGGAAGACCTGGGCAGAGGGAAGCCAAATCTTCTCAAACTTGTTCGACTTGCGTCATCACTCTGAGATATAAGCCGAGACGTGTAGAAGGTCAACGAAATGCGAAATCCTGTCCAACGGTCAGTGGCATGAAAGGCTTTAGGGTCGAACTGCACGAATCGATGATGAGTGCTGTGAAGGTGTCCTGGTACTCGCTGCCCGTTACGCTTGGTCTTCCATCGCACGGGACTTTGTAGCGAATTGCAACCCTCAGCGAGCTCAACCCAAAGTTGACCTCCATCGAGCTGACCAAATGAACATGTATAGTTGGACGATCCCGGGCTATTATGCCCGTCCAGGTGCACATTGACTGCTTGGTTCACACTGATTGAGAAACTGGTCCAATGCGCACTGTGCTCTTTGAGGTGGAACTTGCCAAAGGAGTTCAGGTATCGACACACACATGGAAAATCGTGAGTCTTGCGCGTGAGCCCTTGCATGTTTCCATGAGAGAACAAGCCGAAAGTCAGATAGCCGCCGGCTTTCTTTTCGTCCAGCGGTAGAAGTTTGCTTCTGTTCCATGCCGCTCCAACAGTCGCCAACTGGTGAAGCAACCGGTCACAATCATAGAAACTAAAGGCCTGTAGATCACACATGTCTCGCGCTGAAGACTCAAGATCTTTCACATCGGGGTCCGTCCCCCCCGGTCCTCTGGGCATACTCCAGCTGCTCGGCCGGATTCGACTGATGCCGCTTGTTCCCCGGATTCGTCGGCAGGGCCTCTGGGTCGGCTGGAGCAGTCACCTCCTTGTCCACATCCACTATCTCGGCCGCTGTGATAGGCAAGGAAGGTGCCGGGCCGTTCGGAATCGGACCTGAGGTCTTCGTCCCATTCGGAGGGGAACTCGCCTTCACCATCGGGAGGGCGTTCTTCGGGATCACCTTCTCCTTCTGTGCTCTGATGCGCCCGAGCTGACGAAGGGCCGAATTCTCCGCCGCCTGGAGTCCGATCGCCTGGTCCTTCAATCTCGGATTGTAGGCAAGGTCCTCTGTATGGCTCACTTCGTAGGTGATCGATTGGACATCCGCGGCAAGAGGACCTGCAGCTCGATGCAACCCCGTTTTGCCAACTCTCGGCACATAACAGAGGCGAACTCCGCATCTTTCGCACCACTGCCACATCGCATGCTGGTTGGAGCGGGTCTTGATCTGGCGCGTTCCGTGGCACGGACTCCCATGAAGACGGGCATCCTTGGGATTCCCTTCCTCGATCCGATCCCAATCCAGCTCCGGGGCCTTCTCCTTCGGCTTCGACTCCTTGGACTTCGCCTTAGACTTCGGGGTCGAGGGGATCCGAAGCGCCGCTTGGCCTGGGAGATCGCTCTGTCGGTGGATTCCTCTGTCGTCTTGCTGAAGTCCTTCTCGGTCGCGTTGGCCATGTCCTGCAAGTAGAGCACGAAGGACCCAGAAGGGATCAGAGTGGGGGCTGCTGGCGTTCGAAGCTTCGGATGGCGCTTGCACGCATGGATCCACATTAGATTCGGCTCGGAAGTGCACAGGGTCAGGCTCCACAACAAAGATCGAATCCTCCCTTTTGTCCTGATCAGGAGGCTCAGCCGCTGTGGCAAGGATTCCTGCCGTAGGCGCCAAGATGGAGAAAGAGTCCTGCAGCCAATTCTTACTCAGGTCCAATAGCAGATGACCGGAGGCACTCCGTCGCAACCTCACACCAACTGTGGCATCTAATGCTGCGAAGACAGCCACCGCCTGGCTGCAGTCCAAGACCGTTCTGAGCGCTTTCAAAGTGCAGATGCCAATCAGGATCGGAACCTTTTCCACATCTAGGGAGTACACTCCTAAATCAACTCGGCTGTCGCCTAGATCCTGAGGAATCAAGACATGGGACAATGAGAAGCCGACTGCGCCATTGCCAAAACGAAATCTCCTGGGAGGCGTATCTGAAATCGTGAAGGAATCTGGGCTCCCACTCACCTCGAATCGAAACCTCATCAGGTCCTCAATCGCTGGGAGAGAGCCAACTGTTTCAGTAGCTCCTGAGTCAATGACGGCATGCCCTCTCTGATGCTGATCCCCACTGCTGGAAGCAAAAGCACCCCCTATCTCGTGTGAGGTCACCACCAAAGCTGAAGAAATGTCGGGGTTTTCCAGCGATGCTGGAATCACCGGCTCCTGTGCTCGACAATCTGACGGAAGATCCTATCTGAAATCCCGCAAGGTCCTGGAAGCACCCAAGTTCTCGGCTCTCGGAGGCCACCGTCGGGGTTCCCTGCCAACGTCACGGCCGGGTACAAAGAAATCTCACCCTCGGGAACACCCTTGTCCTCGTCAGACTGGATCATAAAGACGCCCTCGGAGAAGAAACTGCGAGCGCCCTTGCCCTTGCCACCACCTTTGCTCGATCCCGACCTTTTGGGGCAAGATCGCCAGGAATGGTCCTTGGCACCGCACACGAAGCATCCAGTGAAGGGAGGATCACCTGGTTGTGCATAGATCTCGCCGGTGGCAGCCAAAACCGGAGCCGTAACTGGCCTCGAAGAGAAACCCTTGCCCTTGGATTTGCCCTTGCCTTTTCCCTTGCCACGAGACTTGCCCTTAGCGAAGGATTAAACAGGTAAAATCCACGGGACAACTTCTGCGCTCTCACTGCTTGCCGAGCCTGAGTGAAGGTTCGAGACTTAGGGTCACTCAAGGAGAAAGCATCTTCAGTCTCCTTGGATACCTCTGATGGGCCCCCAGTTGACGCTGAAGCCCCAAACTCATCCCAGTCATGCCAAGCCCAGAACAATCCTGAGGGGTCCTGGGTATAGTACTCGCCGTCCTCTGCCATCTCCCAGTAAGAGAATGCTCCATCGTCATCTTGATGCCAGAACCCAGCCTCCACTGGACCTGAAAAGGGATCTGGATCCTGATGAAAGTACACATCCTGAGGGAGCTTGGAACCCACATGCAAGATTTCCGAAGACGAAATCACATCTTGCAAGTCCTCCTCGAAAGTCAGGAAAAGACTCCACTCTCCGTCCTCCTCAATCCAGAAAGACCTGCGCTTCTGATGCTGAGGCTGCCGACGGGCATCATCATGAACCATAAGTTTGTCCTCCATGGCCCTCATGGCACGTTCGATGTCGGTGAAGAGCAGCGAATTTCCCGTCGCCGCCTGAATCGAGAGCCGCGCGCTGGTAGGCAAATTCGCCCTTCTCAATAGCAACCAACCCAACACCTCGGGCGGCAGAACCTCCTGGAGGCCCTCTTCATAGCGATCCCACACCTCCAGGTCAGCGAGCATTGCTGCACTGTCGTCGCTTTCATCTTCGTCATCGTCCCTCTTCTTGTCCTTTCTTCGGCGCCAACTCGACTTGGCATCCACACCTGGGTCGAAGGCATCGTCATCGTCGGGGGCCATAGAAGGATGGTCAGGAAGATTCTCATCGTCGCCCGGAGCTTCTGCCTGAGGTTCCTCTTGAGTAGCATCGCTCGAGCGACGAGTCGGAGAAGACCTGCCCTTCTTCGAGGAGCTTGAAGGCGATGACGGCGCGGAAGGACCTTTCACAGGAGAAGCATCAGCTGCTGGAGAAGTCGAGGGTTGGAGAGTCCCTTGCTCTTTCCGGGCTCTATGAAGAGCAACTTGAACCTCTTGTAAGTCTGTCTGACTTGCGACGCCCATGATGACATAGGCGTGCCTGCTGTCCTCTAATGATGAGCTCTTCAAGGCGTATGCCGATGTCAGGAATGGGGCTACACCCCAACCTGTCACGCAGGAACTCTAGGAGATATACGCCATCACGCCTGGTGAGCTTCTGGTGGTTCACGTCCTGTGTAATGGTCCGTGCCTCTCGCAATTGCGAGACAATGGAGGGGCCAAGCTGCCTTCTCTTCTTTCTGGGTGTTTTCTCGTGCAATAACCGTACACGGCGGACGAAGTCCGTCCAGCCGGACGGGTCACCGTCCCAGCTGCATTTCGCCAGGGAAGCATCGTAGTCTTTGACCATCTTCGCCTTGCCGAAAAAGAGAGAGTTCGCGAACACTGCCTCCACACGAAGAGCGGGAGGCCCACACTTCCAATGCAGGAAAACTGACAGCTTCTGTAACGGGCTCTGGTTCGAGCTCCGCTACCAGTATCGGTAAGCGGATGGGCTCTCCTCTCCAAAGGTGGTCACTGTAGCAGCTGTCAGATATTTCTTGCAGAAGACAAAACTGTAGAGCGCACGAAGATTTTCACAGCGGCTCGAAGAAAAGTCTCTGACTGAAGTCTGTCGTCTCACGGCGTGCACACCGGAGCCTATGGCTTCGAGGGGAAGCTTCCTACGGAAGCTGAGTGTAACAGCGTAGCACGATTGTCAAAAGACAGTTGGGCCAAAGGAGCTCCTGGAATGCACGCACACCTGGAAACACAGATCACTGCACACATGTGAACATGGAGGCAAATCTGGACAGGACATGTCCTCCGACATTCGGGTCAGGGTCAGCGTGGAAAGCCGAAGCAGCCAGAAAACGCATGCAAAAGCAAGCGCCTGCATCGGCGAACATCTTCTGCAGGGCGGCCATCTGCACCTCCAAAAGCACGCAGAGGTCCTATTGGGCTGATGGGTGCGTCTGCTGAGCCCAACCGCCTTCAAAGCCTTCTGCAAATCCGGCGGACAAGCCGCGAAGCAAGGCCTCAGCTGCACTTGTGTCTGGCAAACAAGGGGGCAGAAAGGGCTTCAGTGCTCAGGGTGGAGCGCATGCTTCACAGGCAAGACCTGGCCCAGGACCAAAGGACCGTTGCAGCAAAGCAAAGGCAGCGGATGACCTGCACATGGTACGGGTTCACCGGACCTCGCCTGCAGAGTTCAGTATGAAGGATCGGCTTCTAACACTCATGCAAATCCACACACATCAATGTGTTTGCGATGCTAAGTTCAGGACGCAGTGGCTATGTACACTTCTGTGCTAGCAGAGACAATCATGTGCTTCTCCACCTGGCGGCAACGACAGAATTCGCGGGCAGGGAAGGGTTGGCAGGGGAGCCGCCCACCTTGGGGTTGACAAGGCAGAACCAACCTGGCACTTCAGGGTCTTGGCGTTTGAAAGAGCAAGTCGCGGGCTTGCATAACAAGTCGAGGCCACAGTCGGCATGAGGCTCCACGACCTTGGCCAACACAGGCTGCTTGTTTTCCAGCAGAAGCTACCTGAACTTGCCACCCCCACTTGGTGAGCCCTCCTTCTTCATGAGACAGGGCTGAGGATATCCAATACTTGGGAGCTGCACCAGCAGGCTCTCTCTTACTTGCTTCAACAGGATGTGGGTCAACTCTCCCAGCCCTGCGCAGACACACCCAGAAGTCTTCTGCGATTCACTCACAAATAAACCCCCGCTCTCTTTCCACGGCTCCCTCTCTCCCTCTCTGCCGGGCATAGGGGTTCCTTCTCCCCCTCTCTCTTTGTCTTTCGCTAGGGCTGGGGTGGGGGTAGCGCCCCTCTCCCTTGCTTGCTTGCAGGGCGTATGGAGGACAGGGAAGCACACTCCCCACCCCCCTACGCATCAGCCCTACGCTCGTGAAACAGGACTCTCCCTCTCTCCCTCTCTCCCTCCCTCCCTCTCCCTCCCTCCCTCTCTCTCTCTCTCTCTCTCTCTCTCTCTCTCTCGATATACATATAATATATATATATACATAGATAGATAGATAGATAGATAGATAGATACATAGATAGATAGATA